TGCGGATGATTAGCGACTTTGAGCATATTTTCACTTGGCTTTATGAATGTCCTCTTTAGAAAAGTGTCTATTTAGATCCTTTGCCCATTCTTTGATTGGTTTATCTTCCTTTTGTTAAGTTGTATGATTCTCAATATTGATGTTTCAATCTCCCTCTCCCTTCCTCTCTGAATTCAATAAAAAATATATATATTTTAAAAAGATAATCTATCACACAGAAGGTTGCTAGTTGGGATTTGATTTCGAGTTTGCAAAGCGCATTCTCTTTTGCATTAAAGTACTTCACTGAAGCAGCTGGTCTGGTGTTTTCTGATTGCTCTTATGCCGTATTAGCTATTGCTTTCTTCTACCTTCATTACTTATCCTTTCTCTTGTTCCCTTGCTTTCATTTTGCTTTTGGTGTTACTTGGTATTTCTTGATGTACCTACTTTTTCCTACTTACTATCTCCTGTTGCTGCTTCTACCCTTTTCCATGTCCCTCTGCTCCAAGGTTTTTCAGTTGGAGCACTTCGACATTTGGGCTAGATAGTTCTTTGTTGAGGGGAGCTGTCCTGTGCATTGTAGGATATTCAGCAGCATTCTTGGCCTCCACCCACTAGATGCAGTAGCACCACCCCAGTTGTGACAACCAAAATTATCTCCAGACATTGTCAAATGTCTCCTAGGATGTAAAACCACCCTAGTTGATTGCCTCTGCTCTATTTTGTTGACTTTTGTACCTTCTTCTCTCTGGTTCCTTTTCTTTCTATCTTACACTTTTTTTTCATTTTTAAGGAGTTCTTCCTCCCAGATATATTAAAAACATAGTTATGTGACACTACTGAGTACCTTTAGTAAGTTGCTTTTCAGTAATGATGAGGGGTTCATTTTGTTCTCACATTCTCTAACACACTTTTTAAAAATATATATTTTATTGATTTTTTTTTTTGCAGAGAGGAAGGGAGAAGGATAGAGAGTTAGAAACATCAATGAGAGAGAAACATCAATCAGCTGCCTCCTTCACACCCCCCACTGGGGATGTGCCCGCAACCAAGGTACATGCCCTTGACCAGAATCAAACCTGGGACCCTTCAGTCTGCAAGCAGACGCTCTATCCACTGAGCCAAACCGGTCAGGGCACTAACACACTTTTTTAAAAAATGTATTCTTATTGATTTCGGAGAGGAAGGAGAGGAAGAGAGATGGATAAAAACATCAATGAGCGAGAATCATTGATTGGCTGCCTTCTGCATGCCCCCCACTGGGGATCAAAGCCCACAACCCCAGCATGTGCTGACTCAGAATCAAACCGTGATCTCCTGGTTCAGAGGTTGACATTCAACCACTGAGCCACACTGGCTGGGATAATACTTTCTTGTACATTTTTTAGTTGGTTGGTTGATATCAAGAGCTCTTTCAGTTATAAAAGCTGAGAGTCCTATTAAAATCAGAATTTTGGCTGAAACTGGTTTGGCTCAGTGGATAGAGCGTCGGCCTTCGGACTGAAAGGTCCCAGGTTCGATTCCGGTCAAGGACATGTACCTGGGTTGTGGGCACATCCCCACTGGGCAATGTGCAGGAGGCAGCTGATCGATGTTTCTCTCTCATCGATGTTTCTGACTCTCTATCCCTCTCCCTTCCTCTCTGTAAAAAATCAATAAAATATATTTTAAATAAATAAATCAGAATTTTGGCCTCTCTATTATGATGATGTAACTAAGCAAACATTTCTTAGCTTCATTTCAGTGTCTTAGGTTACAAACAGTTGGCTTCTTTTCCCTTTTTTCTTCTGTGTGGACAGGTGATTTATATATTTTCTTTTTTTAAAAAATATATTTTTATTGAATTCAGAGAGGAAGGGAGAGGGAGAGAGAGATAGAAACATCAATGATGAGAGAGAATCATTGATTGGCTGCCTCCTGCACATCCCCCACCGGGGGATTGAGCCTGAAACCCAGGCATGTGCCCTTGACTGGAATCCAACCTGGAACCTTTCAGTCTGCAGTCCGACGCTCTATCTACTGAACCCAAACAGCCATATAAATATATATATATATATTTTTTGCTAGATTCTGAAGTCAGATACCAGATGATAAAGCTAACTCCAAAGCAGAAAATTTCTGAAAATACAACGTCATGTAAGAGAGCAGTGGTAAAGCAGAAGACGGCCTTGACGCCTTCAGAAAAGTTACTTAAATTTAACAAATTTGTGGACATTTACAGAGTTGTACTTCCTACTGTTGATAATGAATACAACAAGTACTTCCTTCAAAACCTTAACCTTTTTCAAGATCAGAATGGTCAAACAAGTAAGAAGCAGGGCAAATATAATGAGTATGGAAAACCCTTCAATCAGAGATCATTGTTTTTGAGGCATAAGCAAATTCTGACAAATGCAAAATCTTATGAATGCAGTGAATGTGGAAGAGCCTTCAAACGTCAGGCAAATTTTGTTCGACATCAGAGATTTCACACTTCAGAGGATCCCTTTGAGTGTGACATATGTGGGCAAGCCTTCAAACAGAAGTCTGCTCTTACTGCCCATAAACAGTGTCACCCTCAAGAAAAGCCATATAAATGTCATGAGTGTGGAAAATATTTCCGTCAGATGGCATATCTTGTTGAACATAAAAGGATCCATACCAAAGAAAAACCCTATAAATGTAGTGAATGTAAAAGAACATTTAGTCAGAATTCAACTCTAATTCGACATCAGGTAATCCACAGCGGAGAAAAACCCCATAAATGCCTTGAATGTGGAAAAGCCTTTGTTCGGAACTCAACCCTTAAGAGCCATCAACAAATTCACAGTAAACAGAATGCTCACAAATGCAGTGAATGTGGAGAATCCTTTGGTCGGAATATAGATCTCATTCAGCATCAAAGGACCCATACTAAGGGGAAAGTATTTGAATGTAGAGAATGTGGAAAAACTTTTAGTTTTAAGTCAAATCTCCGTCGACACAAGGTCATTCATAATGGAGAGAGACCCTATAGATGTGACAAATGCGGGAAATCTTTCAGTTGGCGCACAAGCTTTATTAAGCATCAGAGTACTCACAGAGGGCAGGTATCTACGTGACTAATGAGAAAAGCTATAATTTAAAGACCGGTACTTGTCACTATTGCAAGTATATGTAATTAGATCGTTTTACAAAAATTAATAAACAAGAGCCAAAGTCCGTCTTTCTGTGGGGGCCCTCATTTTGTAGGTAACCTTGCTGTAGTCCAGAATTACTTAATAGAAAATGAGGTAGGCTGTTGTATCCAGTTTCCCTTGAGTCCCTATACCTTTGTTCCCCCCAAGTCAAGTTAAGGCATAAGGGAGGCTTGGTAGCTTTGCTCTGTGGTCCCCCAGGCTGGAGATCATTTAATATATTGTGAATGATTTAAGAAGGCCGTTCTTGGTTTTACACAGAATAATGGACTTGATATTGATAGGCTGTTTAAAAGTAAGTGCCACTTGTAGCTAGTGAGGTATTAAGAATAAAAATTTTTAATAAAATTTAGTGTTCTACTGTAGTGATTTTCAACGTTTTTCATCTCATGGCACACAAACTATTTACTAAAACTCTGCAGCACATCAAAAAATATATTTTTGGCCGATTTGCCCAAAAAAGTAGGTAAGATTTTGATTCATTCACACCAGAAAGCTACTATTATGTTTCTGTTGTCATTTTTTTTTTATTTGACAATCTAAGGGAAAAGAGGTTAGCACCCCTGACTAAATGGTCAGGTATTGCAAATTTAAGAAATTCTTCCCGCATAGCAGTGTGCTGGTTGAAAATTACTACATTCTATGAAGAGTTCCAAGTCAGTGCTTACAGCAGATGCTGTTGGTGCCCTGCTCCTGCCCCTTTGGCCTTAGCCTCTCTGTGTGTTTCATTTGCCTTGCACTATCTTCATCTGTTGGTCTGCAGGCTTTTTCTAAAATCATGAAAGGCCCCTGCTCTGTATATCCTGGGAGCAGGCTTTACCCAGTGCTTGATGGGAATTTGATATAAACCAGATCTCCCTCCCCTTGGGAGGAGCACATAGGTTATCTGAAGCATCTGTTGTACACTGTTTTCAGATTTTCCCATGGGATTATACACATTCACTTACAATGGCAGCTGTCTTCCCTTATCTGTCCCTTCACTCCCCTACCAGTGTTTCAGCACCTCTCCCACAAGTAAATGGCTTGTACTAAAAAAGTGTCAAATATAAATCTTGAGGAGCCATATCCTTTCATTCCACAGTTATTCCAAGCATATTTTTTTGTAAAATAAAAATGGTTTATCAATTCCAAATTGTATAAAACACATGGGAGAAACCTAGCCAATCAACACAACTGTTGCCACATGGAAAGTTACTTGTAAAACTCTACATACCCCCAATATTTTTTCTTTCCCATTTCCCAGTACAATAATGGGAGGAAGAGGATCCCTCACATCCACAAGTTTCTAACTGGAAAGAAGGGGCAGTAGAAAACTGCTTAGAGAGTTGTTTTAACCATTCCCTGTCAGGCCACATGACCGGGTTGTGGCTCAACCCCCAGTAGGCGGCGTGCAGGAGGCAGCAGATTGATGATTCTCATCACTGATGTTTCTCTTTCTCCCTCTCTCTTAAATCAATAAAAACATATTTGAAAAAAGCAAATGATCCGAAACAAATCTGGCATGTTAAGAATGGATAAATCTGTGTGGTACAAATGTGAATGTTCTTTAAAACCAGGCTATTTTGTTTATTTGTATGTTAGCAATATTTCATAATAAACTATTGTATCCAGTTATTGGATACAATTATTTCACAATAAATAATAGAATGCAAAAGTATATGAAGATATGTGACAGTAAATAATTATAAAAAGAACCTGCCAGGCATCTTCACCCTAGTTAAGAATTAGGTCATTTTCAGAATCACAAAGCCCTTTATAATCTCTCCAAACTCATCTCCCTTTCTCTTCACCAAAGGTTAACAAATAAAATACTCCGAGTTTTATGTTAATCATTCCTTTGTATAATGTATACATGCTATTTACTCATGTCTGGACATTACACTATTTAGTTTTGCGTATTCTGGAATTTTACATACATAGAATACTTTTGTACTTTGACTGCACGTGTTTTGAGAATCATCCGTATTTCTGTGTAGCTGTGGTCCAGTCATATTTACTGGTGCTCAGTATTTCTTTGTAGGAGTATACCACAACTTATGAATCTATTCTTTTTTTTTTTTTTAATATATTTTATTGATTTTTTACAGAGAGGAAGGGAGAGAGATAGAGAGTTAGAAACATCGATGAGAGAGAAACACCGATCAGCTGCCTCTTGCACATCCCCCACTGGGGAAGTGCCCGCAACCCAGGTACATGCCCCTGACCGGAATCGAACCCGGGACCTTTTAGTCCGCAGGCCGACGCTCTATCCACCGAGCCAAACCGGTTTCGGCATGAATCTATTCTTTTGTCGATGGGCTTTTAGGGTATTTCCACTTTAGGGCTATTATAAAACAACATGTCAACATGCCTTAGTTCCCTGTGAAAAGCCCTGGGCACATTTTCATGATGAGTCATAAGATACATACGTTTTTCAGCCTGAATAAGTAATGCCACACTTAGGCTGGGTAGCTCAGTTGGTTAGAGAGCTGTCCCAATACACCAAAGTTGCAGGTTTGATCCCCAGTCAGGGCATATAAAAGAATCAACCAATGAATGCATAAATAAATGGGACAACAAATCATCTCTCTCTCAAATCAGTAATGCCAAACTTTCTATAATACATGTAACAACTTACACACCCAACAGCAATAGACGAGAGTTCCCACCACTCTATGTGTTTATGAATACTTGGTTCTGACATTTTTTTAAATTATTTTTTTTGTTAATCTTCACTTGAGGATATTTTTCCATTGATTTTTTGAGAGTGGGAAGGGAGAGAAAGAGAGAGAAACATTGCCTTGAGGGAGGCACATCAATTGGTTGCTTTTGCACATGCCCCGACTAGGGCTGGGGATCGAGACTACAACCAGGTATGGGCCCCTGACCAGGAATCTAACCCAAGATCCTTTGGTGTACAAGCCAACACTCTAACCACTGGTCCCACTCCACTAAGCTAAACAGGCTAGGGCCTGACAGATTTTTAAAGATTTGATAGTCTGTAAGTAATATCTAATTGTGGATTAATTTGCATATCTATTATCCTATCTAATAAAAGAGAAACATGGTAATTGGCGTACGACCAATACCCTTCCTATTGGCTAATCAGCAAGATATGCAAATTAACTGCCAGCCAAGATGGCGGCTGGCAGCCAGGCAGCTTGAAACTAACATGAGGCTTGCTTGCTTCAGTGACAGAGGACTCCAACGT